AATCATAAAAGTAAGAAATGTGTATATTAAATCTTTGAGACATTGAAGAAAGAAGTTGAAGACTATGGAAAGAGCTTCATGTTCATTGTTTGGTAGGATTGATATTCTGAAGTAGAAAAATGAAGTAGGTCAGCCATCCACTCATATTTTTTTTTGGTCTTTTTGAGACAGGGTCTCCCTGAACCCCAGCTGCCCTGGAACTCACTATGTAGACCAGGCTGGCCTTGAACTCACAGAGATCTGCCTGCCTCTGCCTCCCGAGTGCATATTTTCTTTTTTGTTTAGTTTTCAGTTATTGTTTTTTGTTCCTGATTTTATGTTTAATACAGTCTTAGAGTCACATTATTATAGCAAAGCCTTACAAATGTGTGTGAGTTGGGATTATGTCTAAAATAGCAAATTCATCAACAGAAGTACTGTAGGGCAGTGTCTTGCTCTAGGGAACCAGCCTGACAAGTCTTCCTCCAAGTTGGGACAACTGGATTCCTCTCTGCTCATTATTGTTCTGAGAATGTCAGGTACTTTTCTTAGAGATTGTTTATTTAGTGAAGTTTAATGAATTTTAAAGCTGTGGAAATAAAGACCAAATTAATGAGCTGGTACCTCATGACTGGGAAATGGAAAATCCATCGCCTGGATAAAATGGAAATCATTCAGTCTGCCTTTGTCTTTCTTATAATGTAGAAACACTGACTCTTTCTGTTGAAAGGGATCCATGTCTTCAACTTATCCTCTAAAAATTGAAAAACTTTTACAACATCCAGTTCAGTGTATGCCTTATCTTTAAGGCTTCTCTAAAGGAGAAATTTGCTTTTGTATCATATGGAATAATCAGCATATGGATAACCATAAAGAAAAATGAATCATATGGGGATACAATTGGGATAGATGATATCAGTCAGGAAGACATTATTCTTCTTAAAGGACATGATTCCTGATATGGGAAGCTACTCTCATATCCCCCATCTTCCTTTAGCGAGATTAAAACTTAGTGCAGGATTTCATCTAGAAGAGTTTTAGCATTTCAGTAGATACCCAGCTACACCATACTATCCAGAGAGAAATTTGAGAACAGGTATGAGCCGCCTCCCACTGAAACTCAGACTCATCATCCTTCTTTTATGTGCTTTCCAGTGTGCAGTCAAGGATTAAGTGGGTCTTTGTAGCATCTTTATGTTGGTAATTTATTGTCTATGTCTTAAAATGAATTTGCTCTACTTTTTAACCTGCTATGGCCGAATCATAATTAGTCCCAGTTCATTTGGCTAGCTTGATTAGAATTAGGTGTGTTCCCATCAAATTTACTTTGATAATATCAGAAAGTTAAGAAGTAGAATTCTAACTTTCCAATTGAATTTTCCTTCAGAAAACTGGATGACCAAGGTCTGCTTATTTTTATTTAAATTATGGATTTGCAGAAATTGAATACAGCTAAATCCAGTGGCAAGATCCTCTTCTACCTGTATAGAGCAACATGAAGCTAACTGACAAAGCACTTGCACAAGTGCTCCACGTTTACAAATTGCTTGTTCTCATTTTTTTTTCTGTGATCTTATATGTAACATGTCTATAATTAGTGGTACTATCTCTTCATCTTGACATCAATTGATCACATTATTATTATATTGATGCCACCTACGTATTTTTCTAAATCTTATGACATTTCTGTGAAGAATAAATTATATCAAGGAATATTAATATAAAATGAAAAGTTTTTAAAATGTGATCATTAAAAATATTACTGTTGCTAATGTTTGAATTTTCACTAATAATTGTGCAATTAATATAAGCAATGTCTTGCTTATATCATCCAATTAATCAAGGAGAAAATATCTGATCAAGACAACTTAATTTGTGCTTGGTCAATTAGATTGTTTAAATTTATACGGAAAATATTACATTTGCTAAGCACCACACAAATGATAAATATAGATGACTGAGTTGTTGCGTTCTGAGCTTACTATAACCAACACCCAAATTAGGAGCAGAATCTCAGCACCTCTACAAGGTTAGATATATATATATTATTTAATGAATTTACCAATTTATATTATTTATATAATTATCCAGGGTGTGATCTGTTTATTTTGGTTCTATCTCTATAATTTTTCTTTTAAATATTGATTTATCAGCATCCTTGCCAGATTTTATTGTATTCTTTGTGATTAATAGGAAATGAAAGTATCTTTCTCATATTTTTATTTCATTTTATTCTTATGCTTTTAGGTATTATTGATCATTTGACTTTGTTCATTTTAACTTGGATAAATTCATCAACATTTTAGTACTGTTGCATAAGACTTATCATGCTTTTGTATCATGACTTCTTGTCTTACAAAACTTCTACAGATTCCCTGCCCCAGTTTTAGCCCTGGTATAGCTTGCATTGATCTTTTTTTCACTTTCTTCATGTAGATAACTAGATATCCCATCACTACTTATTAACTAGTGCTGCTATCATTTCCTCACTTATCTGAAATGCCTAACTTAATATAAATCATTTTCCTTTATATTTATGAGTATCTTTATTTTCATCAACTTTACACAGACAAGTTGCCTCTTCTGTTTCTTTGTTTTATCTTGGTTATTTTGACCTCTTTGTTTTTCCTGTAGAACTTTTCCAAACAAGTTTTTGTATAAACTTTAAACAGTCACTGGAATTCTTATTAAAATTGTACTGGAGCTATAGATTTGCTTTTATTTGTTAGAACACCAGGTTGCCCCAGTATACACAGGAACCCTGTAGGGTTTCTAAAACATATTACCAAGTCAAAACATTTTCATGGATCATCTTTGGCCTTTCAGCTTACACAGCTATGATTTGCTAACTTCTCATGATTGTCCTCATTGTAATCTTTATATGATTCCTGTGTTTATTCTTGGCTTCCAGTATTAGATGTGCTTTTCAACATTTTACTGAATTAAAATATTGATAGTAGAAATCCTGGGACTGTCTCTGGTCTTTAAAAGAATGTTATACATTTTTAAATTAAATATGCTACATGTTTTATAACATCTTCTACATTTATCCCATTGGATAGGCAATAAGAATAAAATCTACCACTAGTCAATATTAGCAAAAGCCTACACTGACTGCCTTGCTTTAGCCTCATACCAATCCTGAAAGATCAATATTGTCAACCATTTCAGAAACTGGGTTTTTAAAAGATGTGTAATTTCCCTCAGTGACAGTTATCAAATGGCCACTTTGAAATCTAAATTCATAATTTGCTGTAGCCCAGTGTTGAGCCACATATCATATTAAACTGACCAGTGAAGTAAACCTCTCTATTCCAATCTTTCTAACCCAGAACTTGGCTCCACTGCTTTTCAGTGGAGCTGAAAAACCATCAGGAAAATGGGAGATGCTCAGTCACTTTTACATAGGGCAACACTCAGTCACTTTTGAATGCTTGAAAGAAAGGGACTCTTATATGAATTGGGTTGTTTTTCCAGAGATTCTCACTTAAAATGTGTGTGCTGAATGCTTGACTTTTCTTTTTACTAACAGTCACTGGGGATTCTAACAGGGCTAGTGCCCTGGTCTAAGTATCTATAACCACTTGAGGTAGTTTCTACATCAAGAAAGTCAGGCCATTTGGCTTGGATGAGCTGAAATCTTGCTTAGGATGCTCACTCAATCAAACTAACAAATTAAGCTACCAATCAAACTAACAAATTAAACTACCAGCTGAAAGTAGCCCAGAAGTAGAAGCCTGTTGCAGGGGTAGGCATGGTGTCACAAAGCTGTAGCCTCAGCCCTCAAAAGGCAGAAGGATCATGAGCTGGAGGCCAGCTTGGCCTACATAGTGACACACTACCCCAAACAAAACAGAAAATCAAATCAGAAGAGAATAAAACCCAAAGCCTTATTGCCTGAGGAAGAGTAAAATTCATGCTGGTATTTGAAAATTCCAGGGCAAAACAGGGATAGAGTTACCAGAGGAACAGATTAAGTGCCTCCAATTATACTTAAAATTCTATGTGTATAATTTGTCACAAGCTGATATTTGTATTTGTATTTGTATTTTAGTTTTTGTTTGTTTAGGGCTTTTTGTTTGGTTTGGTTTGGTTTTGGGTTCGTTATCATCACTGCCTGGGAAGTCAGAGGAAATTTGGTTTACATCTTCTTTTGTTACTTTACTTCAAGTGTGCTTTCCAAGTGACCACATTTCTGTTTGATCTGTCAGGCATGTTGTAGAATCCACGTTGTAAATTTAAGTACACTAAAGAGTGAGATCCTTTAGCATGTTGAGACTTGATTTGCATGCTATTCCCATGATGTTGTTCTAGGATTCTTACCAATCTCAAAGCAGCTAGCTCTACCATCGGCTTGGTGAGACTAGGAAAGAATTAACAATCCAGCTGACTCCACTGAACTTTGTAAAGTATCTCTTTCCAGGAGGAAAAAGGGAACACACACTCTATAGAAATCTATTTATTCCCAGGTCAATTTTTTCTTTAGAAAATTTTTTATTGTCTCTCAATGATTAAAATACGTGTCTCTACATTGAGGAAGATCTTTGGATATAAACGTTTCACTAAAAATTGAAATAACTCCTCAGCTAGTGTTAAAACTGTTGTGAACATACTGAAATCCATTGTTACCAGCAGAGTGGAAGCATCCAATATGGGTTTATAGCTCCTTATTCATGCCCTAAGGATAACATAGAACTACATTGTCTGATCAGAACTTTTGCAGTGATACTTAAAAGTTAATTGAGTTTTCAAGAATGCCACTTTTAGCTGCTGTAGTTGATGGGCTAATACTTGAAGTTTACTAACAATATGCTACTACTGTAGCATCATTTGACTTCTTTGGCTGGGCTTTTGTTTTGAATATTTGTTAAGCAGGGATCCACTGGGGGCTGACTAGTAATTGCTTCTATTAGTATCTGCTGACTTGCATAGTACGTATTGACTTATGCATGTATCTATCTGTTGCTGACTTGCACAGTATACGTATTGACTTATGCATGTATATATCTGTTTTCCTCTAGGAAAAGAAGAATACATTGCCACTTTCAAAGGATCTGAATACTTCTGCTACGACTTGTCTCAAAACCCCATTCAAAGCAGCAGTGATGAAATAACTCTGTCCTTTAAAACTCTTCAGAGGAATGGACTGATGCTTCACACAGGGAAATCAGCTGATTATGTCAATCTGGCCTTGAAAAATGGAGCTGTCTCTCTGGTCATTAATTTGGGATCAGGGGCCTTTGAAGCACTAGTGGAGCCCGTGAATGGAAAGTTTAATGATAATGCCTGGCATGATGTGAAAGTCACCAGGAATCTGCGTCAGGTAACAGCGCAGTGGATAAGACAGTAACTGGCCTTGTTTCTCACTACAGCTGTGTGTGTGGTACTTGCAAACCCTAACAACACAATGCAGGGCTCCTCAGAGTTGCTGTACAGATTAGCTTCTTCTTCTGAGATGAATCTTCCTGCCATACTTGAGCAGGGGCATATCTAGAAAGTTCTGGGGGCCCAAAGACTATTTTAATACAGTGACATATGATCATTTCCCAGAGCACTGCAAGGATATCACTGTGACCTGCCCTTCCTGTGACGTGTGTGATTTTGTTGTGTTTTTTTCTTTCTTTCTTTTGTTTCTTTGTTTGGTTTAAAATTATAATTTTCATAGTGATCATTTGGAAGCATGCACACTGGGGTCATTAAATCACAGTTCCTTTTTTGTAGTTTAAAAAAAAAAGTGTGTTTATAATTTGGGATTGCATCAATCCCAACTTCTTCTTCCTACCCCTGAAATGGGCACACAAGAAGTCCCTGATGGGAAACATCAACCTTGGGGGTTAGTCTATCTTCTGAAGATTTTGTTTTTTTGAAAGTATTTATTTTTTAGCACAGATACTTTAACGTCTAAATGACTCTGTAAGATCACTTCATCTTCTAGATGTCCATCTGTATTGGACTGTATTTTTAAAAATTTTTGCACAAGGCTGTATAGTAGGGAGACAGCCATTCTTTACTGACTCTATGGGTCTACATATACTGTATGTTTCTAATGTGACATATTACAGTATATTTACAGCTGAAGGCAGAATACATTGCTCTTATATTTTGATCATTATGAGTTTGGGTTATCATTTAAAATTTTTATTAGATTATAGTGTATCATTTTCTTAAATATTGACAGTGACTAAATTTTATGGTAAATGCTAATCTCAAGCTAATATCCTTAACATATTTGTTGTTTCTCTGAACAGTTGCAGAATGACTGACTGTCTCTGGTATCCCTTTACTAAAACAGCCCTCTCTTTCTGAGCTGTTAACTAACCTTTTCCTTCCCACTTCTGAAAGACTTCAGCTATCTTAGCTAGAGAAGTAAAAAGGAGCTCTAGGAGTGGAAAGCTAGTCTAATTAAGCCAAATAAGTAAAACCTAAAAGTTCTGAGAGTCTTTTCAGATGCCTTATGAACATGGGAGGGGCCTCAAGCTTCCTACTGCCTTGGGAGAGGGCTGCCCACCACCAGTGTAGCTGTAGACCATGGGTTTCCTGTAAGTCTGTCTCTTTGGTTTTCCGTTTTCATTTTTTTTCCCCCTCAGATACTCAGCAAGAGACTGGAGGCTCATTTAAGAGGAACACAGAAGGAAGGGTGGGTCTTGAGAAGCCCACTTTCTAGATTTGCCTTTGCTCAGGTTACAAAACAAATTGAGAACCGGTAACTCCAAGGAAGCAGTTTCTGTAGCCAGGGTGCATGTGTGGCAGGACAGATTACAAACAAGTCCATTCTACTCATTCTGTGTCAGGATCTTTGCTTTGTTTCATTGCAGTAAACTGTGACCCTAAAGTCCATCAATATGACCGAAGGAAGTTTTGGAGTTGAGGAGCAGTCCTTGTATGCTGCAAAATTGAGTAGCAGGGCAATGCCAACCAATTCCTACTGATTTGCTCGGGCTGGGGTGGGGCCGGGGTGGAGGGGGGGTAATGATGGGCCTAGGGTGGCAGTGGCCAGCTGATGAGCTTTAGGCCTTTGAATGAATCCCTGGTAGATGTCTTTGTCTCTCAGATGTACTCAGGCAGACAGAGGGAACATTGCCATGTGTCTGTTTCTGTCTAGCGGCCAGAGATGAACCACAATGGCAGGAACAGAGTATGACCTCTCTGGGAGGCCTATTTGTTAGTCTGCTTTTTTCTTGTAAAATTTTTTTGCCCTTTTTCTATGTTACTAACATGCTTAATAACTAACATGTCATTCATGGAATGTTTCATTCTACTAACCGTTACCTGAATCAAAAAATGTACTAACATGGTAGAGACCATCATATTTTTTAAGTAACGATCGTTATTCTGTTCACAGTTTTTAATTTCCTTTCTCCCCCCTTCTCCACAAAGCACTCAGGCATTGGACACGCTATGGTAAACAAACTACATTGTTCGGTAGATATCATTCTAATTGTTTCTTATTTTGGGTTTGCCGTGTGTTTTCTTTCTTTCTTTTAACTGTAGACATCATTAACAAAAGAGGAACTGCGGTTGGTACTCTTCTGCTTACTTTGACCTCCTTCTTTTCATCCGTTGTTGACTTTCTTATTTTTTACCTGTTCCTGTCAACTTCTGTTTTCCAACTCACCTGTAGGGGCATCGTTAACGTTTCGAACGTTTTTTGCATCCAGCTGTGGTTAACACGGGATAAGAAAATGGTGGCTGGCCCGAGTGACCGCAGGCTCAGCCAGTCTCTAACCATTCATGATGCATGGCATGAAATCTTGATTTGGGAATGTTGGAGATGCCACGCCCACTCATCTTTACGTCACCATCCAGCAGTTATCTTTCTCCTTTGGTTCTCCCGTCTCTTTCCTTTCCTTTCTAACCTGTACTGTACCTCCTGCATGCGCATCGCGAGTGCCGCTTCGCTGGTCGTTTTGCCTCGTCTTCCCCCAGCATGATTTAGGCACTTGCATGCTGAACAACTGCTGCTCAATAGTGCAAATATTGACTTTGCTGGGAATAGCTTGCGCCTTTTCTGTTCACGAGGTGCACGTTGTGATTAGTGAATAACAGACAACTAAACTTTACTAATGTGTACACCAGCAAAACTAACCTAGGAGGCATTCTACTAACACCATTTTTGTGTCTGCTAAATAACTTTTGAGTTGCAGTAGGGACAATGCTGACACTAGTTCAATAATCAGTTAACTCTCTAACTAGTTTAGCTACCTCAGGACTAGATGGATAGAATCCAAGAATAAACCTCAAACAGACATGAAAATGGGTTCCGCCATAGGTCTAAAACTGAAAGCCAAACAGTAAAAACAAAAATGAAACAAAAAACAAAAAGAAAAAAAAGAAAAAAGAAAAAGAAAAACAAAACAAAAAATAGAATAAAACAAAACAAAACACAAAACAGGCATATCCCAGGATTACAGTATCTAGGTCTGAGTATAGCGTGTCCTTTCCCTGTGCTTTGTTATCTAGGTGACAATATCAGTGGATGGGATTCTTACCACAACGGGCTACACTCAAGAAGATTACACCATGCTGGGGTCTGATGACTTTTTCTATGTTGGAGGCAGTCCCAGCACAGCCGACCTTCCAGGGTCCCCAGTCAGTAACAACTTTATGGGCTGTCTCAAAGAGGTAAATACCGCTGTCACGGAACCATTCTTAACTCATGATCTTTTTTTTCACAGATGCGGACTGAGAACACTTTTACTGGCAACCTCTTGTGCCCAGTCAATGGCACAACCGTAAATTCAGCTTTGTGTTGCTTGTGTATAGTCGGGGTAGAGGGCGACTCATAGACTGCTATGAGGAACTGAGTTCCCCGTCTCACAGTGGAGATCTGCTTGGAGACCTATGGATCAGTTCTCTGAGGAAGTTAAACAGAGATGTGGATCTAAAGTCGTACTAAGTTCATTTCTAGCTAACTGCCTGAGATATTGTGCACATAGAGATGACCGGTTTTAAAATTAAGGGAAATGGAAGAAAAAATTAGGCTATACCAGAAAAAGACTACATAAAGCAATAACAACAACAATAATAATGCTTCTAATAATGAGACTATAGGATGAAATAGGGTTGTGCCTTTTTTATAACTATGTATTGAAAGAAGGAGAGCTGTGTCATTTGTGATCTGGTGAGTTTATGTGATCATTACCTAGAAAAAGCAGAGGTACGGAGAATAATTTCACCCTCCATACTCAGCTGTCAGTGTTTGTTGTAAAATTTCATAGGGTTACAATTTGTGGGGGAAGACCAGAAAGGCCTTGAATTTCAATTTTATTTTCCATAAGAGCTAGCTTTAAAAAGTCCATTCAGGTGCCATGTTATTTTTCTGGTTACTAGAGCCAGAGGTTTTTCCTGTGTTGTATTGCTGCAGTTGAGTGGTATGGACTTCTAAATGTAAAGTGGGGTAATGACAAACTTACTAATTGTTTAGCAATAGGTGCTGTTGATGACAAATGCGAGAGCGTGTTTTAGTCTAAAGATAATATTGTAATCTCATAAATTTGATTGAGGGATTTTTTACTTTATTTTCACTCATCAGTGAAAAACAGTCACTGCTGAGTCATGCTTGCCCATCTTCCACATACCTGAGCGTGCTGGAACTCCAGTGCCCTGTGTGTGTGTGTGTGTGTGTGTGTGTGTGTGTGTGTGTGTTAAACGGCCCCAAGGAAGATCAGATCAGCTATAGTAACACCTGCATGCAGTTTCCCAGAGCTGAATCCAATCATACTTTGGGGAGAAAATTTACTCTCTCAGAAATTGAATTTTGCACTGTGAAAACATAAAATATGACTTAATGGTCTTTGTTAAGCCAATAAGCTATAATAAATCAATAAAATAGTAATTATCATTATGATGGAAGCACTATTAATGTTTACAGAATCCTTTGGGTTTATTTATTTTGACTCTCAATTCTCAAGTGATCCCCACAATATAGGTAGTCTGTATTTTGGGGGAAAGGGTTTGAGACAGGGTCTTCCTTGTAGCCTCCGCCAGCCTGGAACTCACTATGTAGACTATGCTGTCCTTGATCTCACAAAGATCCACCTGCCTCTATATTCCGAGTGCTAGGATTAAAGGTAAGCAGTACCACCACACCTGGCTTTTTTATCTGCATCTTTCATACAAAAAAAAAATGGGCATTCAGAACAGGTAAGTTGTTTGAAGAAAGACCTCTAAATATTAAGGATTTTAAGCCTTGAGTTCAGTACTGGTAACTGCCATAATGTACCATGTCCCAACAAAAGTACTTTGCTAATTCATTGCCTTTGAAGATTGTACAAAGCACTGAGACGAGGGTGAGTGTAGTGAGAGAAGAGTCCTAACAGGATGATGTGTGAGTGTAGATTCACCGTGGTCTGGACAGGCAGAGGACAGAGGCAGTAGTTCAGGTTGGGAAGAAACACACCCAAAACATAATTTAATTTTGCAAAGAGATTCCTGAAATCATTCTCTGGTTGTGGGACATGGGGACAGAACAACCTCACAAAGTACCCACACCACACTCCTTATTGCCCTTGTGTAACTGGCATAGGTCCTGCGTCTATCCTAGACAGGAAAAGAACCAAAAAGCCAAGAAAAGAACCAAAAGCCAAGGATCTTTAACAAGAATGCAAGTGTATGCAAAGAGCATCTTCAGGCATCCTATGAAAAATAAGGATTTCTATGATGCCTGAGTTCCCCTGAGACAGGTGGTCTTTTGCCAGTTCTCCATTGAGTAAGCAAATCTTTGTGTTTATGAAACTGCAGTTAATGCCCTTCATCTGACATAATAGCTTCAAATCACGCAGTACTTCAAATTAACATCTTTACTATGCAAGTGCTTATGGGTTGTTATATCTCAGTATTCATCTTTCTGTACTAATAGTTTAATCACAAAATATATGACAGCACAAAAAATGAAAGAAAAGAATGCCACATGGTCTTTTAAGTATGCTTTAGCCTGAAGCTACTGAGTGTATAAATGATGTGTTCACTCTCTGTTTTCTGTAGAATTTGCAGACAAATCCTTCCCACTTTTCTCCATTCTGTAGCTTGGAGAGTGTGCTGGGTACAAGTGCTTAGTGTTTATTGCAGAATTGTACTGTCATTCACTTTAGTCCTTCACATAACAGAAAGGCTACTGATAAAATCAGTCTATAAATCAAAGAATATTCTATTGGAGGACTTTTTGATAGTTCGTAATTTCTATCTGTGTCTGAATCATCATTTATAATGGCTGCTCTTCCTGTTCTGAATTGAAATAGTGAAAAAACACCACGAATTTTGAGTTAAATCACCTTACTTTGTAGAGTTCTTGACTAGGAGTATACAGATGTGCTTTCTCATGTTTGTTTTTCTAAGCCCTGACATAGATTTCTTAGTTTGTACCACATTGTATGCCTTAATTACAACTTAATTTATTGCTTATTATATTTTTATTTTAGTCTATTACTTAATATCCCTTAGGATAGGAGATTCTAAGAACACCTTTATGAAGTCACAGAAGAAATTTTGGAATAGGAAGAATCCTGACAATCTTTCTTCAAGTCAAAGCTCCATTTTTTAAAAATTATTTATTTAATAACCACATAATTAGTAGAAGCATTTCATTACAAAAGCAATGACTTACTCAATAAGAATTTCAGGAACAAAGATGCATCTCTTTCAAACTTGGCTGTAAATTTTTAGGTTCACAGTTGAATTAATATAGTTACACAATAATTGAACTCAGTATAAACCCTGTAAGACATAAAATTGAATGAGATTTTAACCCTTAAAAAAGATATCCATTTTGTTTAAAAATATAGTTTCAGAAAGACTCATTTTTAATGCAACTAACACTTAGATATCTGCACATGCATCTCTAATTTCTATATATCTGATTATTACTGGTCAGTCAGTTACTTTCTGAGATCCTTGGCACCTGACCATGGATATAAAGTCATCAGGTAGATTTGAATGATAATGTTTTTTACCTCTACTAATTAACATGAAGCAAATATTTATGCTTCTTCATCAATTATAACTCATTTTTCAAATTTATTGATTTTTTTGTGTGTATTTCATAAAGATCATCCCAAACAATCTTATTCATCTATATACCCACATACCAAATGGTAGCCTCCCATAGTCCTCCCACCACCCCTGGAGCCCATATACTCTGTCATCCCTGTTACTGTGCACTCTGTTGTCAGTGCCCTCAGCCATTCCCCAGTGCTTGTCCATCCACTGAATCTAGTTAGCTTACATAGAGTTCCTTGTTTTAGGAAGATCAGCTCTTCTTCATCTAGCAGCAATCAGTTGTCAGTATTTCTTTAGATAAGATTGGGGTCTGCTGTTCATTTTCCCACTTCTATGCTGGGTACCATCTGGGAGTCTCTTGGGCCACCCTAGCTAACAACTCAAAGGAAGGTATCTCCTGTCTGGCATTGTTTCTTGC